TTGACACTCCCCACATCAAAGCCTTCTTTTCCACTTTATTTTAGCTCCATCTTTGCAGCTAAACACACCAGGAATAGGGAGTGAGGGTCGTCAGTCAAATCATCACAGAATTTGCAAGTGAAAACTCCAAACGTACTCTCTTATGAGAAGGCCTCCTCTCATCCATTTAGTAGGCAAGGAGTATCAAATATTTAGTGCCACTTGTGCATATTGACAGATCAGCATCTGGGCTAACCAGCTTGCAATAAGATAAACAAAAAACATTCCCATTAACTTTTCAGAGAGCTCTCACAGGCACTTAAAGCTAACTCTCATATACCTGCTCATCAACTCATGTGTTAACACTCCTTGAAGAATATCTGAAAGCCCACATTCCCAATCTGATTTCCTGCTAGAACAGATGACTCTTCATTTGATTTCTGCATAACTGGAATGATATGACCCTTTCCCATGCTCTGGCATGGGAAGCACTTAAGGAATTAATTTGCAAAAATAATCCACAGGATATAACAAGGTATATACAGTAATGCCTGCACAACAGCTATTCCATGGGCAAAACACAACTGGGCAAAGCACTGTGAAGACAGGAGAGAAACAAAAGAAATTTTGTCTGAGCATATGCTGAATGATGCTGTCAAAACTGTGTAAGCAAAGCCAAACCAGTCATAAAAATACAGGTAGTATTTCTAATCCTTGCAATCTGGAATTGCTAGAAGTGTATCGGCTTCATTTCCTTTTTCCAAAATTTTTGAGTCCACCATTGTCAAATGTGTCTGTTTGACAATGGCAGAGCTTGATTTAGTAAATAGACTTGGCAATTTGCATGTCAGAAATATGGCTATTCGTGGCAGCCTTGAATCTCAACTGCAGAGGTAATTTAACTTTTTCCATATAGTTTGGAAAAATGGCTATTCTGACTCATTAATAATATGAACAGCTTTCATAAAAAACCCTGCACAATCTATTTTGTATATTGTGTGGTCATTAAAGGTGTATTGACTTATTGTAAATGATGACAGCACCACTTGTTATTTTAAATTTCTTTTTCCTGTGTCTTGTTCTCATACCTGCTGTGATCATAGTAAAGGGCATTGCCATGATGAAGTAATTCTTGGAATAACAAATACAAACAGAGTATTTATTAATCCAAAAAAGAAGGACAAATTAGAAAACATGAGCCAACAGGAAGCAGTTTCCCAACATGAGAGCCAAGTGTCATTGTTGGCCTGTCAATCTGCACTTGTTTGGAGTTTGTTCTGCGTGTGGTGTGCTATGGGCTGGACAAAATGAACACGTGGGGATGGGCAGATTTTGAGGAGAGAAGCAGTGGGGACCCAAGAGGTCAGATTAGCAGAGCTTAAAGGTAAGTGAGATAGAGCAGGATTTCCTTTGCAGATAAACCACATGTGCCAGCCAACTAAGTGTGCACAGCCATTTTCAAAACAAGGATATTTACACATGAAAATGTTTACCCGCGTCCATCTCCTTGCAACCTCTGTGTCCACTGCAACTGCTACCATACTGAAAACTCAAACACGAGACAGGAGCTGCTCTTTTTAGCATGCTTAAGCCTAATCACTGCAGAAAGCAGCAGTAACAATCTTGGCTGATGGTCATAGCAGTCTCAGTGTACTACATTCAATAGACCTCAGGTATGTGTCTCCTGAAGGACAGCACATGTTCAACCGTATCATGAAAAACAACCATAGAGTAAAATTTCAAACTAAATTAGTATTTTGCTAATCTAAGTTGCTCCAGAGGATGGTCTGCAGTGTGATGACTCCATATAACCTGAAGCATAGGATAAATACATAGCTCTTGAACAGATGTAACACAGGGCTGTGTTGTTTATGATTACACCTGGGCAGTGCCATAGCCATGCTCACAACAAGTGTGTTCTCTGATATTCCTTACCTAATGGCCATTTACCCTATCATTGTCTGATTGCTTCCCAGAGCATAGTGCTGTAGAAATGTCCCACCTTTGTTCTGTTCTCAGTTCTACACCCAGAGACTGTGAGGAAAAATTGGTACAGAAGAATATAACTGAAAATAACTGTGCTGTAACAGTGCATCTTCTGCCCTTCCCTCAAGAGAAGGAATTATCTGGTTTTAAAGCAGTTCTGTTCATACACTGTGAGACTGAGGTAGAGTTTACTTCATTGTGTTGGTCATGTTGAGGTGCCATAGAAGCTAATGTTTCCACGTAATTTTGAGAAAAATCAGCCTGTAGTGCAAACTCCTGGTTAGTGAGATCACAGTTGGATGGTGAAAATATTTTGGTACCGTTACTACAGGGAACTCTTGTAGCATAAACCAGCCAAGCTCCACCATCTCATCAGCTGAGAACAGCAGAACTGAGAGTTTTGCAATGAACTGCTCTAGAGAAAAACAAGGTAGAAAAACTAAGGAACAGAAATAATGGGGCTGCTAAGCAAATATATATTCAGGCCAAATAGCACTCTGCACTTGATCCTGCTTTTAGAAAGGATTCATGATCCTCAATTGCATCGAGTGGGGAGTGCTGCCTGCTAACGGGTCAGGGCCTCACACTCTGGGGACAGTAAGCTCAATTCTTCTCCAACACTGGGACATCTCCACCTATCATTCATCCTTTGCATTCCTTTGCCCCAGCTTTAAAATGGGAAATCACAACTAGGAAGAAACAGGATATGGAATCACCTTACATTACAGTAATCACTTCTGTGCTTCCATTCAACAGGGAATCTCGCAGCAATACTGAGTCTCCTCTGAAGCCCTTGGTCTTGCTGGGTGGTTGTGGTTTGGGGTTTGGTTTTTTTTTTTTCCATTATCCACATCATCTTTCATCCTCTCTGCTCTTAGCTCTCTCTACTTATTGCACACTGCATTGTAAATATATATTTTAATATGGCAAACACCCACATTCATGGAAGATGTTTTTCAGCATAATGAGTTGCCTTAAACTTGTACTGTGCACTTTCCAGGATGACTATCACACCAGTCTATATGTTACTACTGCCTTATCAAACACCACTGAAGTTAGGAGACAGTACAAGTTGAAGATTGAGAAACCCAAACCAGAAAATTTCAACCTGACCTTTCACACTGGGGATCCAAACCTACTGCTTCTCATGAGCCCCATCAATCTATGAAAAGCCTGCTCTGCCTCCACCTCAGGCAGATGTTGAGATGAAAATCAACTGCTAGCAACCTAAAACTTCTTAAAGATAGAATAAAATGGCAAGGCCTGCATGGTTTGTGCAGAATACAGGCAGGTAACTGTGTCAGGGAGGGTTTTTTTCATTTTCTGTGACTTGTATTTTGCAAGCAAAGAGCTTTCTATCTAGTTAGCCTTGAAAGCACAAGCACTGCCTCGAATTCCTCTCGAGGACGTGAAGTCGAACTATAGCAGAAACTGGGGAAGGAGAGGTGTAGATTGTGAAAATGCGAAAAAGAGCTGAGGGAGATTCTAGGAATCAGAACATATCATATGGTGATTTTTTTTCAAGAACAGTAGCAGAAAAGAGGAAGGAGATAGGGAAACACAGTTTGGCAAATAGCTCAGTCCACACTCTTACACAGCAGGGTCTTTTTGTAGAGGAGATAATTTTCAAGTGTAATTGATACCAGCCTTAGCAGCTTGTCAGACATGTTGTCACTTATGTGAAGGCTGATGACAAAGCAACTACTTCTACAGAAACCTACAAAATGGTATTTCCAAACTGCCAGCAGGTTAGGGAAGGTCCTGCATGCAGCAACAACTGTGTGCTGATAGTCCACATGCTTCAACACGCTCAGCTTGCCCCTCTGTATAAACATGGTAGTGTTCCTCTTTTTTGGACATTCACACTTGAAAAGCCACGTTAAACACATTTTCACTATAGCTCACACCTTCTCCCTCTAGATTACATCTGGCTGAACCAAAACAAGCAGAATTACAATCTAGGTTTACAAAATACTAAGCAGAGTGTCAGAGTCAGCTCAACCACAGCTGCTTTCTAAAAGGCTACAAGACATCAGTTAGTTGCTGCTGCTCTCTGCAGCCTGCCTCTGCCTAGCTTGGAGGCTAGGGCTGCAGGTGAACAGCAGCGACAGACCAGAATCATGCTCTACAGCAGGTTTCTACCTGGGATCTAGGCAGAAGTGAGACATGCTCCAGTCAACTTTCCCTTCCCTTTACCAGTTTCACAAATGATGGTAGCAAGTCTAATAACATTGAGCAATTAAACAGTGGTTGATGAATAAAGATGCTGAAAATAAAGTTTGACCAATCAAAAATAATACATGCTACAAAGCTGGTACCGAGATGTAGTAAGCAGTTAATAACAATTATAAATAATAATGTACTCAAACCAGTCCCACCTCCCACTCCTCAGCTATCCATGGTGCTCTCAGTTTAAGAGGTTATTCCTCAGTCACCTTCAAAAGAATACATTAAATTATATGCTGTCCTCCTCTTTACCCCTCTCCATACATGTCCGGAACATAACATTAGACTCTGGGGCTGTTTCTTCATGTATTTTCACTCCCCCCTGTTTCATGTGTTCTCATGGTTCCAAAAGCTTTCAGCTTAGAAAAAAATCCCTCCCTGAGAAGTTGGACGGTTTTTGTGGGAAGTGTCCACGGTCCCTCTGAGTTATTAACAGTCCCACACACAAGCCTCACTTCTCCTCCCTCCAGTCCTCACAGTGGTCCATTATGCTAAATCACACTGAGCCAAAAATGGGAGTTGAGGGAGACACTCTGAAATGGGCTAGAAAAACTCTACTGTGGTATGGCCCATAAGAGGACAGCTTTTTTAAGCATTTGTGTCTCTGCTAAATAATTTCTGAAGTTCCACATTTAAATTTACCCTCTAAGTGCTGAGCTTGCCCTCTGTGCAGCTCACTAGAACTGAGGTAATGAAGGGTATGATCAGTTTTCTGAGGGTGCTGTGACCTAGAGGCAGGTCTGATTACATCATTTGTTTTGGGTTGAGTCTCAGGAGCTTCATAAAAAGCAGCCCTAAAAGGAAAGAGAGAGACAAGGAGAGAGAAGGGCCATAACTCATTAGCAGAAGCTTTGTATGTGTGCATTCTGCTATTTGCCACATATCTACAAGGGAGTTTCTTCAGAGTACAGAGAAACCTGTGAACTGTCGGGATTATTTTAAGTCTTTCCTTGAGATGTCAGCCAAGAGCTTCAGTATAGTCACAGTTGCTACTGTGCTTATTTTCTTCCTAAAGATACAGCTCTCAGTGCAAGCGCCGTTGAATGGTAAAGTCTTTCAGCTTTCTATTTTATTGTCACTTGTAACTTAGGGCAGCTAATGTATGCAGAAAACTGGCATCTTTTAATTATTACTATTTCAACAGCATGTTCGAAGTTGTATATTGTTGCAGTCTGCAGTTGTTTGGAGTTAGTATCCTTATTTCAATTCTCAGAATAGGTATTCTGATATATGCATGAAAAAGAGATTTGTCCGATTTAGTTTGTGTTACAGACTTCTTGCATGCTCCGTATGCCTTGCTTTGTGATCTTTTTGTTTCTCACAGAATGAAGCAGAGACTGGCCCTTCTCAGAGTTAGTGGAAGCATCACACCTTTCCCTCTGCCCTTTTTATTTTTAAACCAGAGGAAGAATGCAATCCCTGTGAAGCACCCCATATACTAGACCTCATTCTCTTATATTTAAACAGGACTAGTTTCAGGAAGTCAGTGCTCCTCACTCTCCTTTTAGGAGTTAATGTTCATCTATTCAAGCTGATTATAGTAAATTTTCATCCATTCAACTTATTATATCCCATCTAGTGTGATTATAAGATATGAGGGAGAATCATTATAAAGGGTTGTGTGAGAGAACTTGCTCAGCACGTATATTCATGGGATGAAAATCTTGAAGGTTCAATCATAATCCATATAGCTGTTGGCTTCTTACGAAGCTCTGCCAAGACAAGCATTTTACTTTTTTTTTTTTTTTTTTTTCCGATGGAATTCAAACTTTTAAGGTCATCTTCTTATTTTGGGCATATAACCTCTGAAAAATGGCTATATTCTCTAGCAGAATCTCCCACCTGAAGGGCAGAGGTTCCTAAAGCTTGGTGCTCTCCAGAATAACAGAACAAAGCTTGGTGCTTTCCTGGTGCTTTCTCTGACAAAACAGAAGGTTTGGAAGTGCAAGGATGTGTCAAAAAGATAGGTCTTATGATACGTCCTGAAGGGAATACTGAAGAATTCCTATCTTAGGCACCCAGTACCCAGAAATGGCAAAAGCTACAGCATCTGCCTACCTCTGACATCTTCCCAAATCAGAGACACAACTAAGGAAGATTATCAGAACTAAAACCATTCCCACTTTCCCAGCTCCCGAGTGACATTGGAAACATATCCATTGCCTGGATATTGATCAGTGAAACACAGATACACCGGCTCTAGGAACCTCCTCTACCATGCATGAGCATGTAACTGTGTTACAGTGCATCAGACTCACCCCAACATGAACAAAGAGGCAGGAGAGTGCTCACATGTATGAAGCTGTTGATAGTTCCCTTCTAGATGTGCATCACACTCCATTGACTCTCTTCAAATCTGGGGAGACTCTCCAACAGTCTGTCTCATCCTCATTCCATTATCAAGCAGATTAAGGGTAATAGCAATCTTGCTCACAGTCTGAGGATGGCAGCAAACCACTTTTGCAGCTCTACATATTAATTTAGACAAAAATCAAGAAGATTCTGTCATCTGGTCATCTATACATCTCCTGATCTAAGTTAGAAGAAATAAGCATTAAATGTGCCTCAGCCCTACCCACATTTGTTACTATTATTGTGCTCATCAGTAAAGTCATAATGGTAGTGAATTGCAGATCATCAAAATGCTCACAGGCTAAGGAAAATTCCACTTGGCAAAAGACTTTAATCTTTCATTTATTTTTGTTTCAGCTGGCATAAACACCCAAAACATTGAAAATATTTGACTGTTTTAAGGTTGTTCTAGAATACAAAAAACAGTTTTGACACATTTTAATGAGCAGTATGAGCATGAGCAGAGAGTAGCTATTGTAGTTAAGCCAATATTGCTTCAAACCCAGCTTAGATGAGGATGTGGTGATTTCTAAAACCTTTAACAGTCAGTTGCTATCTTCATACAAGTTTTACCTATAGAATGTGCTGACCAGATGACACAGTCACCCCCAAAAAGCTCAGTAAGAGATAATCGATAATCCCCTGCAGAGAGAAAGGAAGAATAAGGTTTTTCATCTTGAAATCTAAGACAGTGCATGAATTCTGCTATGTGAAGAACCTGGGGACTTCAGCCAGGGTGATTACACAAACCTCATTTTGAAAATTCCAGTGTAAAAGAACAAAGCACACTGGTCCTAACAAACCAGAATTAGGGAGTTTAGTGTTCCCAGCATATATCAATACAAAAGAGCTCAGTGCAGCTGTTTTGCACATCCCTACAAATTAATCCCAAATATTTCACACAACATTCTTTGGAGAAGAGCTGTATCTGTGACCATACTTCAGAGTACAAGAAATTAAGCCAAGAATCATGTACTGAGCAGACATGTGCATGTGAGGATAAATATTTGTCTGCATGCATGCACGGACACACAGGCACACAGAGTGTTTGCAAGATTCATAATTCAGAACTGTTTTCTAAGCAGAAATGAAATTAAATTTGCAGAGAGCAAAAATCTGCATTAGTCTGATAACCAAAACTGGTCAGGTCTGTCAGGACACTAAGCTGAATGATTGTAAGTAGGTTTCAGGACCAAAGAAACAAAAATCATTTAAAAGAATATTTAATAAGTCAAGACATTTCCAAAGACATGAAGAGACACTATCCCAAGTTCAGTTCCTTAAGCAATGGATGAATATTGTTAATTTTAACACTCACTCAAACTCCCAGGATTCTCTGAGTTATACGGGTTCATGTATCATACTCCCTTTTCTCAGAGTCCATCTATTCCTATCTCTTTTCAGCTGGCAAATCCAAGCCACTGTACAGAAATGACTGTCCATCATTTCTCAGTGGCAACACACTCATGTTTTTCAGACTCAACTAGGCATGAGGGAGTTCATTATAGCAATGCTGCATTTATATTCCATAGTTTCCTAACCAGAAAAAGAATCAGACACACAGAGTGTGTGGCTATTCCCGCCCTACCCCCCC